CGACGAATCAGTTTTCCTGAGAAGTTCATGAAATCGAAGTCTCTGTCCTGGTAAGATATCTTTGATTGTTTGTTCTGCTATGAGTTAATTTGTGGACATAATTGGGAATTAAAGCAATTGAAATTAGGGTTTTGATTAGGGTTGTTGCATGTGAAAATAATTGGGGATTTTCTGAAATTAGGGTTGTTTGGTTATTGTCTCAACCGTAATCTGTGATTTTTGGCTTCATGTTTTGCTCGACCCTAGCGACTGGTCGTAGAACTAAATCTTTGGTGTTCGATACAATTTTCTTCCTTATTACTTAGAGGAATTGACACAGTATGTAATAGTTTGTAATATATTGGCCAGTTTTTGGATTTCTCTAATACAAAATTACTGGAACATATGATCTTCTATGTGGTTGGCAAAGTTAATGACATTGCTTGTTATTATTTTTCCTTAGGGTATTGCTAAATTTGTTGAATGGAGTGCTAACATGATGGAGGAGGAAGCCAAGAAAAAGTTGAAAGCTGCAGAACTTCAATGCAAAAAAGATCGGGTGAAAATGTGGCAACCGAACAATCTCGCAAGCAAGCGGAGAAAGACCAGCATGAGAGGTATCTGTATATATTTTTATCATATTCCTTAATGCGTTTCATGCATTCTTGTAGCTTGGTCATATTCGTATTGATTTTACTCTTGAATCTGTATTTTCTGTTTGGTGAATTTATTCAGTCTTCTACTCTTAATGGAAATCATTTTGGGGATTTTGCTGAAAATGACTCAAGAATTCATTTTAAATACAAAAATAGACCCCTTATCTCATGTTTGGCAAAACTAACCCAAGGGGTAGTGAATATACAATTACACCCCTTATGACCAAAGAAAAAAACGGATGTCATAGTTACCGTTTTAACCCTCGAGAAGTCTACACTGTAATAGAGAAGTCTACTCGGCATGTAGACTTTTTTTAAGTCTACTTTAGATATTTTGTAGACTTAAATGGAAGTCTACTTACTAATTATATATGAAATTTAAATTTATAAATTAACAAAAATTAGTTTGATTAAACATTTGTATTCATGATAAACGTATCAACAATTGTGAAGTATAAAAATTAAAATTTCACAAAATTTCACAAATTAAACCAACAAAGAAAAATTAGGTTATAAATACTATACTAGTAGACTTTAATTGAAGTCTCTTTACTAATTACATATGAAATTTAAATTTATAAATTAACAAAAATTAGTTTGATTAAAATTTTGTATTCATGACCATAATATAAGAAATTGTGAAGTATAAAAAATAAAAGTTCGCAAAATTTCACAAATTAAAGAAAAATTAAATTACATATTTATAATGAAATGAAGACTTAACATATGTTTTGATATTGATGTAATGACATGTTGGTAGTTATTTTTGTTTGATATTTCATGAGTTAAGTTGTAATGACTTAGATTGAGGGATTTTTATGTTGTAAACAAATATGAATGTATGTATGTTATATTTAGAGTTACAAATATTGGCAATAGTTTGATATCATAAGCTGGAAATATGT